ATGGCAGGAGTGGTTTACCGTATCTGATCCAGTTGGCCACAAAGCAACTACGTCGGAAAACCATGAGATTACGATGGACGCGAATGTCCGAGCACGCAGCAGTGGGGTGAAAAGACATATCGCGACTTAGTTGACCGTACCCGGTCGTATTTTAAAGCTTGGCGAGGCTATGATTCTCGCGAGAGTTGACAAATTGGTGATCCATGAGCTACTTGAGTCGTAATCTTCCGGCCCGCATTTTATTAACAAACACAATGACTCTCCACTGTCATTCTATAATGTAAGTTCGTACAGACAAAAGTACTAGCCCCATGGGGAGACTACGGATGATCAACAATCACGGTGACAGCGAACTGAAATGCCGAGTAATCGCCACGTCTAGAACCGACAACAGTAATGCGATCTTTGATGAACGTTCACCGACCGCTAGCGAAACTTACTTGTCCCGCTCTGCCTTTGTCTTGGACCCCATTTTTTCGGGTCCTGACAGCATCTGTAGCAGCGAATAGTATAGGTAGATAGTATAAGCCGTCGTCAGCTAGCCATACCCAGCCCCGTTAGTGGTCGGTGAACATTCATCAACTAAGGTCAATATCTCCTGACCTAAACCGGCAAGATAACGGACTCGCAAGTCAATGGTTAGGGCACTGGACTCTGATCGGCAGATCGCAAGTTCGAGCCTTGAATGATGCAACACTTGGGGCTGGGTATGACTGGCTGACTATGACTAGTAATCCAGAACGGCCCATTCCAGTCTCCCTTTTCTTTGCCGACAATACTATCAGTAATCAAATCATGAAAATTAACGCCGCAGATACGGACTAAGAAGCAGTCATCATAGCAACTACGATCGGAAGTGATTAACACAAGGATTTCTGCTTATAGTAGGCGTACGATTGCCTGGAGATTGCGCAAATTGTGGCCCTATTATTAATTTCGGAAGATGTGATTGAACGAGAATCCGAGACTAACTCTTCTCTTCCAGTGATCGTGGCTTTTTTCATCCATCTTTGCTTCCATAAGTCAAAGTTTTATGGTGTTTGACCCTAATTGTACATTTGTTTAACCTTTCAGTTGTAGATCTACGGAAATTCTGACCATACAATACAATAAACTACTGAAAAAAGCAGCACAAGTAGAAGTAGATTTAAAACTATTTTTTTTGTGATTTTTTGGTGACTTATCGTTCTGTAATGCTCGCAATGTAAAGTATAGCCGTGACTTAACAGCCTCAATTTCGCGTTTATCTTCCAACATGGTTTTGCGCAATCTAGCTGTTTCTTTTATTCCGAGCCCAGGTTAGTTTAGATACTTTGGACTAAGGCAAAAAGATGTTCGCTTGATTAAATCGACAAGGAGGTCACAAGAGTAATATATTTAATCGACCCACATGTGGATTAGCCGGTAAATGACTAATCAATTTAACTAAAATTATCATACATTAGGAGAACCTTTCCTACGTCAGATTCCTCCGTAGTTAGTTCACTCAGTTAACTACGACGAGATTCGGCTCGTAACTGAAATGGTGGTGAACGCTTTACGATTTTCAATCTTTTCAGACGATTTCCCATAAATATGGATTTCGGTCTGCGTTTATTACAAAGTTTGGCAATAGTAGGTTATGTAGGCCCACTAATTTATCCCTACTCCCTGCATGTTTTCCTATGAAAACGGTAGTTATAGGGTTTTATGGGTGGGAAATTAGGACACGCAATGGAATATACTTTAATAAATGCTAAAAGCATTTTTATTTTACTGTATTAAGAAGTGTTGTTGATCCATATCTGTAAATTTTCGTAATCTGTGTTATCGTTTTAACTTATTGCA